TCGCAAATTTCTTCAAGTTCTTCAAAATTAATGTAGTCCATCAATAATGACAAGTCTTCAATACCAACAAATTCTTTAATACCCCATCCCTTCACCTTTCTACAAGAATATATGCGAAGTCGTTTAAGAGTTTTTGACGAATTTCTTCCAAAAATTGAGATAATTTCATCATTTAAGTTTTCCAATTTCTTTAAAGAAAGTCCTTGAAGAACCGTTGTGTGCTCGGCTAATGCTAAAAGAGAATCTTTGATATTTAAACCTTCTAAGAACAGCATTCGAAGTTTTCGAGTAGTAGTAGGATTAGAAAGCGCATAAATTCCTTTGTCAGTAAAATTTGTACAATCTTTTAAATCCAAATGAGTTAAATATTTACACGATTTAGATAATGCAACTAAACTTTCATCCGTAATCTCTGTACACTGGACTAACCGAATCTTTTTGATTAATTTACAAGCCTTTACGACTTCACTAAATCCCGAATCTGTCGTTTTACAATTCACAAGAATTAATTCTTCTAGTGCTGCACAATTTGTCGATTTTTGTTTTCATATAGGATATTGTGGGTGCGATTTCACAATTAAAAAATCTTAAATCATTAGCTATCTTTTGTGGAAGAAATTTTTCAGATGATAATCGACGTCTTCTTGAAAGAAGTTGTTCAAAATTGAGAAAAATTAATTTTTGAATTTAATCTTATGATAGATTTGTTATCACTATTTATTGTATTTCTACGATTAATTTATTAGAATAGAATTGATTTTATATTCTCACAAATTATAATTAAACATTATTCGCTTTAATAAATATAAAATAAATTTAGTTGAATACTTTGTTAATTCGAGATTTATCTGATTCATCCACAAGAAAACAATAAACGAGTGGTGTTATAGGTCAAAATCCAGAAAACTAAGTTTAGAAATCCAAAGGACCGTGTAATTTCTATTGTTGTTTGTCACATTATGATGAGTAATCATTCTTACTAATAAGCCGCAGACATTAGAATATCAATTGGAAAACGATGCTGAAATTTTGACTTACTTCATTATGAAAATTAAAGATGTTTTGTTCAGCTTTTAAATTTCAGCACCATTCCCGACATCAATTATGACGTAAGGTCGACGTGAAAAGGATAGATTAGTGTTAGTGGAGCAACCAAAATTCAGCAGATCGACCAAAATTTAGGGTCGGAATAGGCCGGAGTTGATAAATTTCACCCAAAATTTTACTAAGCTGCCCAGATTATAATTTTGCTGTAATATCGATATAGTTGGCTTGTATTATTACTTAATGCCGGCCTAGCTCCGGGACTATTCCGACCCTAAATTTTGGTCGGTCTGCTGAATTTTGGTTGCTCCGCTAATCTATCCATTAAGTACATATTATTCTTGGCGCATTATTTCTATGCCCAGAGCTACTAGTTTATGCATCATCTTAACATGGAGATTGAGGTTTTTAAATTTCCTGCACCGTACGACGTACCTTTTCACGTGGATAGATTAGTGGAGCAACCAAAATTCAGCAGACCGACCCAAATTTAGGG